CAACGTCTCTTCTTTCTTCCCTTTCTTCTCCTACAGAACATAAAATGGTTCACTGAAATTCAGCTACTACTATTTGTTTATCCTCGCTAATTACATTACATGCAAATGCACAGGAAACATATGTTTCTTTCATTAATTAACGCTGAAATAATTTGGACAACACTTATTTGAGAGTGGATACCTCAACGTCTGTACATTACCTCACATTCATGTTCTCAAGCAGATCCTCAAGCCATAGCCAACCAATATTAGACTATTGCCTTTGGCTGAAAAATACTTCAGGTTTTCCTAAGTTACTTTTCAAGTAAATTCCTTTGGGAAGATGTAGATCCAATACACAGGCATTTTACAGCAATAGTTAAGAGCAACATAGTTACTAAATGTTAATCATTTAGCGTGTTGTTTAACAACAATATGTAGGTATCCACCTTAGTATGATAAGAGTAGCTCTCTAGAACGCACTGACTGTATTGAGTAGATATCTACCATCTACAGCATGAGCTTAGAGGCCAAGCTCACTTGTAGACACCTGGATGTATCTGTTTGAATCTGAAAATGAATCTCATTCATTTTGAGACCAAAAAGATTTCTTACATGCGAGCCACAGCCTTCCGTGCCAATTTACGCTGTAATCTGCGGTTTTCGTCTGTATCACGAAGAACATGATCTTCAGCTGCCCATCTATCCCAGCTAAGGATAGGTCAAAAGAAAATTATTAATGGCTATGAATACATGCCACTCATGATTACTAATAAATTAATATGCATTAAATCTAAAAAGCACTCTTTTAACATCATTCAGAAGCAACATCTGTATCAAAGGGTTTGCATCCTTTTGTATTCACATGGCTTCAACTCTTGTGTTGCTACCCAAGATCTCTCAAACCTTGACTTAACATGTGATAGTGTTTGGAGCACCGACACATGCTACAGATCACAGTCAGAGACTGCACTCACGTACTGGCCTTGACAACCAAACAAGCCAGGTCTAGATCTAACAAAGTATAAACGCCCATTATTAATCGAAACCTAGGAGCCACAAGTATACGCCAGCAACAGATATCCCATAAAGTTTAAACTCGTGGCTATCACACTGGTCCACTGAAATTTATGGATACAGACCAATGTGTCAACATAAGCAAGTATATTAAAGGCAAACATTTGATATTCTGTGCAATGCTTTTCTTTACAGAATAAAATAGAAGAAATGGAAGAACCAAAACCACACATACAGGTTCTTACCTTCTGTTCCAACCGTTAAAATGGATCAGATACTCTGGAATCTTTCTGCCTTTCTCATCTTTTCCAACAACAATATCAACAATCTGAAATAAATATTGAATAGCATGTATTAAAAAGCTTGAAAGAAAGTGAGCTTTACAGTATTTAGGGAATTTATATGCACAAAGAAAAAAGAAATGCTTGTTTACGGAAATGAAATATATCTATAATTTTGCCAGTGAATATTGATATGAGCAGAAGATATGGATTACACTAAATGGTCAGAAAAACTAGCTTTTTTGTTGAGCACTTTTAAAGTTGGGGACTGCTAACCATCTTTGTCCGGTCCTCAAATGTCCCGTGCTTTCAAGACAGCCAAAGGGAGATGCAAGACAATGCAGTATCACAGTATAGATATGCAGATACATATCTAGGCTTTTTTTGTGCCTTTTCATGCCTGCAAAGCAGGAGACAACAGGATTCCACAGATACAAACCTCAGAAATGCTGCTCTTTTGAACAACACTGAACCTTAGCCACAAAACATTAAAAGGCTTTGTGAATATCTGGGCCTTTGTTTTCTTCCTGTCTTTCACACATGTAAAACCGGCTAGCCTGCAAGGGCCTGCGCCTCAGAAGACATTTCAGGTGGATCATTAAGAACATCAGACTAGTAGTAACAAAGGAATTGTCCTGCCTGCACTTGAATGGCTTTCGATAGACCATGTATTCCCAGATGCACCCAGTAGCTAGGCTACAGAAATGTTTTAACTTGGGCATCCAGAATTTAAGAACTATTGATGGAGTCAAGGCCAGTTATGCTGGAGTTCAGGGTATTTGAAAGTAAAGAAGGAAAGGCACCATTATTTTTTGCACTCAGGTTACCTCCAGGGCAGGCAATTAAGGCTGTTGGGGTGGTCAGAATGTAAGAATACACGTACAAACAAAAGAGCAGCCCAAAACGCTACAGGAAGGTAGGGTTCCTGATCAAAGATGTCTGAAAACCACTGATCTACACAACTAGCAAACTTGCAGCAAAAAGTATGAATTTGGTCAGGAATCTACCAACCTTTTCACCCCTCTCTGCAACAAAACAAAAAACCAGAACTCTGCTTGCTAGTTAGGTACAGACGACTTAGGATTGAAAAACTATTCCGTGTACCACTGATACCTCAAAACAATCTTATACTTCCATAAAGCTCTACAATTACTATCGCTACCCTTAAGGCCAGGCCCGAGCGAGTCGGTCACCTCTTACTGCAATGCTTACGGTCCACCACTCACTGCTTGCTATCGTATTTCTGTCCACTCTCCTGTACCACCGGTACCATTTAAACCCTTCTGAAAAGCAGAAGGGCGGGCAGCAAGGATAGGAGAGCAAAGAGGTGGAATAAATCAAGCTACGTTACGGAAGTGCAGGGATGAAAACACGATTTCAGAATTACTCTGCAGGTGCTGAGCCGAGAACGGAAGGCGGGAACCGAGTCCGACACCTCCAGAGCCCCCCGGCGGCTCCGCTCTCTACCTGACGCGGGAGCGAGGCCCCGGCGGCCCGGGCTCCATCACCTCTTTCGTCACCC